AAAATCTGTTCTGCATTTTCTATTGGCTTTATTTGCAGCAGTTTTTTTTAACATTCTAGAATAGCATGCATGTCCTTTAGAGGCAAATGATTCAAAGCACTCGAATCTACACTATCATTCATGTTATTATAAGGGATCCAGATGGACAAATGAGTGTGATCCCACCTCAAAGATAATAAGAGAAGTGATTCTAAACTTACATAATCAGAAAAAGATGCATTCCATTCGCTGCTTTTGGTTCGACTTTCTTGGGAGAAAGCAAAAATGGGTTTTCATACAGAATTTACAGGCATGCAATTAGGAGCTGTTTTATGTCTCTACTTTCTTTCTGTTTGCTGTGACTTCGATTATTTCTGTAGCAATTTTTTGGAGAAATCTTACAAGTAAATGAAAAGCTGAGACAAGAAAACTTGGTATACATGCGTACAAAATAGATTGCGGTTTAAAAATGTTTTTGCTGTCTGAGAATGGTGCTTTTTCCGCAAACACAGAGTATAATTGGTTTGAGACTCAACATTGTTGAGTTATAGTGGCTGCAAAGAGGAGATACAAAGGAATCTTGAAAAAATTCTATGAGATGTTTCAGAATCAAAGATCTAAAATACTGCTTTCTTTGATGTCACCAAATGTAATGCTTATGTGTATTTCAGACAATGATACATCACTGATCCTTCGTGACATCTTTGCCTCTTACGACAAGAGAGTAATACCTTTTACTGATGGTCCCGTCGTGATCAACATGACAATTGTGCTTGGAATTCTGGTAGAAGTGGTGAGTGGGAGCTTTAAAAAATCAATGAACTTAGTTCAAAAAGCCTCGACTACAAACAAATACATGCCATCTAATCTGTTATGTGATGAGTGGAAGACATTGTTTGTCCTTTTAGAGAGAAAACGAGCAGCTCGCTGCTTATGTAATATCGCATACCCAGCGATGGTATGATCGGCGGTTACGATGGGATCCAAGCCATTACCGGGGACAAAAAGAGGTAAATATCAAGCATTGATAGTCTTTATACAAGCTAACCGTTGCAAACAGACTTGGTTTTGTAGCGTACTTTCAAAAACTCTTTTATTTAGGTTATCGTCCCTCAAAGCATGGTCTGGATACCAAAATTATTTGTCTATAACAGGTGAGCCCATGGATTTTTGGCCAAAAAGTTGTTTTCTTGGAACGTGGTATTATTCCATATACCAAAACCTCTGTTTTGTAGCGTCAAATTTGTAATGGTTACCTGTAGTATGCATGAGACAGAATTTTTTATTGAAAGAAATAGAAACTACTCCAAACAATGTCATAACTGTAATCGTTATGCTGGAGAACCCCATTGAACGATGTTTTGAGCAAATTTAGTCCGACCTACATACCGTACATCCACTATGATCCCGATTGGTCCCGCTACCATGCGAAACAACATGATATCGGTAATCAGAGTGTCAAATAACTTCTCTTGACTAAGTTTC